TCTACCTCCATTTGTACCTCCTCAAAGAAGAGTAGATTTCTAAATCTTTGCTGGTAATGGCTCATGACCAACTCTTGATCAAGAATGGACCTAAAAGAATACATGTATATATATTTAAATTTAAGAATTAAATATAAAAAAAATCTAATTTTAGCAAATTGAAACCTTGACCTTGAAGCTAGTTTTGTAATCATGGGTGAAACACTGTTTGGTATACTTTTATTACTAACACCAAATACAATGTACTTTTAAAATAACATTTTGTTTGTGCTTGGTTTTTACACTGATTTTAATATGAATTTTTTATCATAACTCAGCAGTCAGTCAACCAAACCAGCATTCCTGGAAAATTTCACAGTTAATTACCACCAATTTCTTCAAAACTGATTGACTTCTCATCCCACATGATTTCTGTATCACCAAGAGATACAAATGAACATTAGACTCAATATCTGAGATCAAATGTCCCGGAGAAATAATGCCTGGCTCAAGGATCGAACCAGCTACCTATTAATTATCAATCTGATGCTCTACCTATTGAACTAAGTATGTGGAATTTTAAATTACATCATGCATAAAAAGTTTAAAGGGTAAAATTATATATCGTTTGAAATATTTTTATAAAATTTATCAACAGTAAAATTATGTGGGTTCCATTATTATATGGTTGATTCTCGAAAAAGTTGAACCATAGAATGTCTGTTGTTATTCAATACACATGGATAATGTATGTGAACACTGAACAGAATAAAATGTTCCAGAACAAAATATTATTTTGCTCTTTTAAATAGGGTTTTATCCCTTTAGCAATGATTTGTGTATGCACCATTCATTTTATAAGGCAATAAATAGAGGATATTCAAGTTTTTTCTATAAATACATGATTTATTTTCATCGAGTGGTATGAAAATAAATATTTCATGAGTGGCGGTAGCCACAAGTGAAATATGGTAATTTTCATGCCACAAGATAAAAATAAATCATGTATTTATAGAAAAAACTTGAATTTTCTGTTTATTATGTACATTTTTCTCTTTTTTGTGATAAAATTTGAAAAACTTTCCCTTAAATTTTGTGTACTGGTAGAATTTAAAAGAAAGTAGTCCGGCAAGACACCAGTGAAAATACGGAAAATATGTTTCACTGCAGTGAAAAATAAATTTTTACAGTGAAAATACGGAAAATGAAAATACGCATTTTATTTCATCAATATTTCTCAATATTTCATTTATAAGTATATAATAAATTATCATATCTATTTCATAAAAGCATTTTGGAATACTTCTTTTTTAAAATTCAAAAAATGATTTTTGCAGCAGATATATAGCTTTAACACTTTAAAAGAAAAGAGAAAAAGATTTCAATAAATTCTTCTTCACCTGAGATTAATCATTTCAGAAATCTCTCCAGCTGTTAGGCCATGTTGTTCTGTAAGTCCTCGATTTATCATTTTCCGAACATTTTGAGGCACAGTGAACCCTTGTAATTCTATGTCTCTTTCTAAATAATCTCCAGTCAAACTGTGGCAATGGAAAACAAAAAGAAAATTTTAATGAGCCGTGTCACAACAAAACCAACATAATGGGTTTGCGACCAGCATGGATCCAGACCAGCCTGCGCATCGCTCACCTGTATATAGGCCCCCGAAGCGGGGCCAGTTTAAACCCCAGGGCTTTTATTTGAACAAACTTGGAATTAAGACACCCATTAGAAGATGTTTCATGATGTTAAGTTTTTGCTATACACATATAAGGAAAAACAATGACCTTCTCCCCCCCCTCCCCCCGGCAGAGTTAATTTTAACCCAAGGGATTTTATTTGAACAAACTTGGTAGACACCCATAAGAAAATGTTTCATGCTAAACATCTAAGCTCTAGCTCATTGGGTTTTTTAAAAGAAGATTTTTTAAGTTTTTACTATACACATATAGTTAAAAACAATGACACCCCTGGGGCGGGGCCAGTTTTGACCCCAGGGCTTTTATTTGAACAAACTTTGTAGACACTTATTAGAAGATGTTTCATGCTTAATATCTAAACTCTAGCTATTTGGGTTTTTTCAAAGAAGATTTTTTAAGTTTTTGCTATACACATATAAGGAAATCAATGACCCCTGGGGCGGGGCCAATTTTGACCCCAGGGCTTTAATTTGAACAAACTTTGTAGACACTCACTAGAAGATGTTTCATGCTTAATATCTAAACTCTAGCTATTTGGGATTTTTTCAAAGAAGGTTTTTTAAGTTTTTGCTATACACATATAAGGAAAATCAATGACCCCCGGGGCAGGGCCAATTTTGACCCCAGGGCTTTTATTTGAACAAACTTAGTAGACACCCATTAGAACATGTTTCATGCTAAATATCTTAGCTCTAGCTCTTTGAGTTCTTTAAAAGAAGATTTTTTATATTTTTACTATATGCATATAGGGAAAATCAATGACCCCCCTGGTGCAGGGCCAAATTTGACCCCAGGGCTTTTATTTGAACAAACTTGGTAGACACACACTAGAAGATGTTTCATGCTTAATATCTTAGCTTTAGCTCTTGAGAAGATTTTTTAAGTTTTTACTATATGCATATAGGGAAAATCAATGACCCCCTGGGGTGGGGCCAATTTTGACCCAAGGGCTTTTATTTGAACAAACTTGGTAGACACTCATTAGAAGATGTTTCATGCTTAATAACTTAGCTCTAGCTATTTGGGTTCTTTAAAAAGATTTTTTCAGTTTTTACTATATGCATATAGGGAAAATCAATGACCCCCTGGGGCGGGGCCAATTTTGACCCAAGGGCTTTTATTTGAACAAACTTGGTAGACACTCATTAGAAGATGTTTCATGCCAAATATCTAAGCTCTAGCTCTTTGGGTTCTTTAAAAGAAGATATTTAAAGTTTTTTCTTTTGGCTGCATGGAATTAAATTCTTTGAACAATTTTTAAAGGTGACCACCAAAGGAACATTCCTGTGAAGTTTGGATGAAATTGGCTTAGTGGTTTATGAGGAGATGTCATTTGAAGCAAAAGTTTATGGACGGAAGGACGACGGACGAAAAGCGATCACTTTGTGACAGGTGAGCTAAAAATTGTTTGAGTAATGTGCTAAAAGTTTTTGCATGACAACAACGATAACGACAATGATGTTGCATCTATCATAATAGCGTGACTTTTTCTTCAAAACAGACAAGCTAAAATTAAGAGATACCAGCAGAGTGTAGAGCCTGGTCATACTGCATGATAGGGCAGACTTGCCTGGATCCTTACTAATGGCAAAGGTTATTCATTTTCGGTTCCAGTAGGCTTAGAATTAACATGTAACAACAATTTCACAATAAATTCCATTTAGTATCAAGCTTTTATATACCTTGGAAGTTTGTAACCCGGCACAATTTCAGTTGCAGGTCCTTTGGCTTTATTTACTCTTGGTGGTCTTTTATACTTGGTCGTTGGCTTCATTTCATCTATGAGGTTATTTTTACACTTGCAGTGTAGATAGCGTAAAATATAACCATTTTGTTTCCTACCATCAATCTTTTGTACAAAATGAAACATAAGTGGGCAGTGGTGGTTTCCCACATGTAGTGCGTGTGTTCGTACTTGTATTTTGTATGAATCCCCTAGAACAAAATTGTTTTTGTAATGGTTAGAGATTCCAGTCTGCACAAATTTAAAGATTAACTTAAATTGACAGTTAATTAAGGTGACACATTCATCATTTTTGTTAAGTTCAACAAACATTCCATTGCTTTATTGCTATAAATTGGACCTGCCCTATACTGAATTTATAATTGTCCATTGTAGTTTAAATGAGCTTCAATAATTGACAGCCAACCCTATAAAGTCAGGCAATCTTCTAATATCAGTGGTGCAAATAAAATGATAAGATGGTTTCAACATAAGAGAAATCACATATTAATAATATTTATTTAACAATTATTCAATAATGTACTTGTCTGATTTTAATGGGACTTTCAACACAATTTTGGTCATATGTTGATGGTCAGTCCAACTCACCGGCTATTCTAGCTAACTAACCAGTAAATGTCAATTTCTCTGCATGTGACCGACTTCTAATCTCACATGATTAAATCAGTGGTGAGAGACAAAAAAATGACAATTAAACTCTATTTCTGAGATGAATTGTCACATTATTTTTATTATTTACCTCAGCTGAACAACGAGCAAGCTGGATTACAAATCCAATTTTCTGCCCATTATGCTAAACAGGCTACACAGCAAGAACTAATGAAAATAATGTAATCTAAAGTAATTTTGCAAAAAATTTTGGTACATTATTAATAGACTTACCTGGGCTTAATTTAACGGTCCCCATTCCATCTGTGACTTTTTTACTATCGCGTAACGTAAATACTCTAACTTTTTTCATCATCTCACAATGGGCCAGCTCTATTTCCATGTCTCCTTTATTTGTTAATACAATTTCAACCATCTAAAAATAAGATATATTGTATGTATTGAAAGTTACATACAGATCATTTGGGATTTGAATCCATAAAAAAAGGATATAATCATCATTATGAAATTTTTGTGGCTATAATAAGAGTTATCATTATAACAACAGATAAATCATCATCTTAGTGCAGTAATGGGTTAACTCCTAGGTCTGTTATATTTGAGATCTGTTGAGGAGGGTATCAAAATTACCTAAATTGTCCACACTACAGTACTATGTGTCCATACTCATACATATATGACGTTTATTTTATCAAGATAAAAGCTTTGGTATTTTAATTTTTTTATTTCTAACATGATATATGTATACAATATTTCAGCAACAAATGCTGAAGTTTTTGATATTCTATTGCTTACTCTACAAATCATCACAGCTAGTATACATGGTATAAGAGTTCAGGTATTGCACTCTTGATGTCCAAATTTTCAATGTCAACGTTCTTGAAATAGACATTAAAATATTACTGTTTATGACTGTTGATATAAATTTAATTACTTAACTACAGAAGAAACATGCATTTATTGTTGGTAAAAAAAGCGACCAATTGATTGACAACCACCAAACAAAGAAAAAACTTAAATGAGGCATTTTCTGGGCCGTCCAGGTTTGATGGTTGTCCGGTTTTTGTGGTACCCTACCAGTACCTCATCAAATTCATATAAAAGTCTTGTCCTGCCTTGACTCAAGTTAATTAAAATCAGCCGACTTAACCACTCGGTCATAGAGGCTGTATCTGGTACAGACTGGTTCTTACCTTAACTTCATTTTCCTCTGTGTGTATAAAATATGTACCGTCTTTCTCCTCTATATCTGCAGTGACTGTAATTGTCGGGGACCCTTCTACCAGCTTGTCCCTGTAACAAATATCATATTCCAATATTTTCTATATTTCTTTGTTGGGTTTTATGTCACAAAATGATGTCACACTTTTAATTTATATGAAAATTCATGTATTTTAAATTAAAACATCTGTGATATTTAATACTATTTTTTATGACAGTGTAAGAAATTGGGATTTGAATCCACTAGGCCGGTCGGACTACCAGACTGGAATATTCACTAGCCTAAAAGACATTTCAATAGCACGATTCATTTGTTCAAACAGTTGTTTATAGTGCCTCTGAAAATACAGTAGTCTGGTTGGGCTTGTTACTGTAAAAAGTTGGTAGCCCGAGGAGAAATTAAGAAGTCAGGGGCTATCGGACTACTGCTAATTTCGAACACTGTTATGAAATGCATGTGAAAATAATACAAGTGTGATAATTTAACAGCTTCATTTTCTTTTTTCTGGCATAATACCAATATTTTGATGATAAGAGTTGCACCTTGCATAAAGTTAAAAACATACATTCGGGATACAAGTATAGCAAAAGCCATTTCTTTAAACTTAAAGGTAAATTATGCTCAAATTTGGTATACATATAATAAGAAAAAACTGATAATTACTTTACAGTCTCTTTTGAAATGTAAGGTAAACATATTTTGAATACACACAAAGTATTCAAATACAGCTTCTATAATAAACAGTTAAGGAAAAATTTAATGTATATCCATACTTTTTAGATCTAATAATGTTCATTGACGTAGCTAGTCTGTGTCGCCTCCCTTCTAAATGTCTATCAGCATCAGGTTTCGATGTTAACTTTGACTGGCAGAGAGTACAGTAATAACCACGCTCGGTTTTTCCTATATACTTCCATTCAGTCGGATCACCTACAGAAAATAAAAAATATCATATTTATGATCATGAAACCTGTATTCAAATGGTAAACAAGGCTTTTTGACAATGGATTTGATATGTTGTCACCTCAGTGCAGTAACAGGTTAACTCCTATTAAATCATATATATATATAATACATCATACAATGTATTCTATTTTAAATACACAATATCTTAATGAATAACATCTATAAGTTTCCTTTCCTAAAATTTAAACAAGCCACATTGTTATTTTATCTTTTAGTTTCAAATAACATTACTGTGTAGTCTATTTTGATAGTTAGATTTTTTATTTTAGTCTTCTCTTTAGAAATATGAAGAAGTCAGTCTTTTATATTCCATTATAATTATATCCACATTATTAACCAATTCTATGTTGTCAATATGGATAAAAACTAATAAAGTAAAGTAGCTCTTCTTGAAAAAAAAGTTAACATGTTCAAAACAAAATCATGCTCTAATACTAGTAATGGTCTATATGGACTAATGGTTTCTTGATTGTCAGTTTTATAAGCAAGTCTGACTGCATACCTTTAAAATCAGGATGGTTCACAACTTTATCCAGACCAGATTTAAATGTTAGATGTTGGTCTACAGCCATTTTGTGCCTATTCATCAATTGTTTCCTGGTACCAGTCCGTCCATTTAATGTCATTGTCCCATCCCCAGGCTGCACAATTTGTCCTTGCTCATCCCCCTTTGGAGTTGACATTTGCACAAACCTTTGTTTCGATCTATCTGTTGCACTCCGCTGACTGTTCTGAAGCTCGCCTTTATCATTTGTCTTCATTTGTTTCAAGTGTTTTTGTTTCTTCGGACTTTGATTCGGAGATTTCTCTTTCTTAACCTGAGGACATGGACCCAGCGCAAGTACATCATCATTGAAATGAGCAAGTTTCATTTTATACATTGTCTGCATTATAAGGAAAAATGTCGGAAGTTTCTCGTCCGGTGTAATTTGTTGCTTGTATGATCTGTATTCATTGGCGTACCAGTTTCGTAACTGTGATTTTGTTAGACCTTCGATTTCAACATTTTCTGTCTTCAAGTATCGCCTGAAGTCCCAAAATAGTTCAACTCTCTGATTAGTAGCCATGACTTCAGATAACTGTAAAAAAAAATATGACATACATTTGACTAATCTGAATACATTGGTTAAATCAAAATAGCTTTGACCGGACGCAAAATGGTTCAGGAACCCAAGAGTTCAAAATATTTAAAAAAACCTTAAACAAAATTATAACAATGTCTTGTATTTCTTCATTTTCCTCAGATTTTGAAAATTATAACAAGACAAACTTTGGAGATGAAGAACGACACATTCTTAATCTGAGTGCCAGCCAGTACATTTTATATATATTTATAGGATCATTCACATGTATGAAAAAACATAAATAATATACAACAAATGAATGTTTTAATACATGCATCATAATGTAATGTTTGCATCATATATATTTAGCAGGAAATCATGTAAGAATTTCTAACGGGTACAAAGAATAGGATTGTCCTACAACGGTAAAGTTAGTTAAAATATTTAACTTATTGAAGGCATTTTTGGTTACAACACTATGAGTATGAAAGCATTTTCTGTTTTTTTGTAATGTTAAAGGATAATGCTATAAATTTAACATAACAAAATTTGTACCTGTCAACTGTTTTCAATTTTTTTTTAAATTTGCCAAGCTAAATAATTCCCTATTCTATCCAGGGTCTTAATTTCTATTTGAAAGACCCTGTTCTATCTTAATTTTATGGAGCAAAATTGATAATTTATAATAAACAAGAGCTGTCCGTAAGACAGCGCGCTCGACTTTTTTATTGCTTGCCAATAAAAAAAGTTTTTGCAGTAAAAGGCAATACAAGAATCTCTGTATTTTTAAAGTGAACTAGTTGTTTGATACTCTTGAATATTACAGCAATGTTTATATGACATAATTTATGGTAAAGTGAACAAGTGGATAGGAATGAATTTTTTTAGATTTTTTAAGTTTTTTAGTGCTTGCCTATAATACAAAACATTGACAGTTAAGGGCCATAATTCAAATAAAATCTTTGACAGAATTACCTTCTCCTGGACATGTTTGGGAATCATGATTGTAAACAAGTATTCCAACTTTCAAATTAATATCTCAAACAGTTCAGTCAAAAAGTGGACTGGTACTAAAAACTTAACCAAGATTCTAAGTCGATAAAAGGCCTTAATTTTTAAAACAAATCCTTGACAGAGTTACCTTCTCTTGCGTACAGATGGGGGTAATGATGTGAAATAGCATTAAAAGTTTCAAAGCAATATCTCAAAGGGTTAAGGCAATAAGTGGATTTTACCCATATTCAATGTATTTTCTAAGTCAAAAAGGGGCATAATTCTGTCAAAAACCTTGACAGAGTTATGTCCTCTTGTCTGTTGATGAAGGTCGTGATGGTAAAACAAGTATGGTCAGTTTCAAAGCAATACCTCCAATGGTTTTGAAATAAAGTGAGGTGGTACAAAAAACTTAACCAAGCTCAATACACTTTCTAAGTCAAAAAGGGCCATAATTCTGTCAAAAACCTTGACAGAGTTATGTACTCTTGTCTGTAGATGGAGGTTATGATGGTGAACAAGTATGGTAAGTTTCAAAGCCATACTTGTAATACTTCTGAAATAAAGTGGGGTGGTACGAAAAACTTAACCAAGGTGTGACGCCAACGCCGACGCTAACGCTAACGCCGACGCCGACGCCGGGGCGAGTAGGATAGCTCCCCTTTTCATAGAAAAGTCGAGCTAAAAATATATGTGTGCGTGTGTGCGTGCATGTGTGCGTTTTGATTTTTTTTCTCACTTTCACTGACAAATCAATAACTTGTGTAACTATTCTCATGAAACTATCCGGAATATATGTATTATAAAGTTTGACTTTGTGGGAAGGGCTATTGCTAAAGTTGTAATAACTTGTAGCCCAACCCATTTGCACTATACTTATATGAACATTTGTTTTTTTGTGTTATTCATATCTTACATGTATTATATAGTTGCAATAAAATATTATTAAACTGTACCTGTAAACTAACTTGGAATTGTCTATTAATGTTTACTTTATTTCACTACTGGGTTATTAACTTTTATTTTATCAAAACAACATTGTGCTATTTTGTGTATGGGCAATATCTCCCCTCTAGAAACTAGATTCTTAGTTACCCAGAAAAGCGAGATTCAGGCCAAAAACATCTCAGAAACTAGCTTTAGCACATCAATATATTTTGACTACCAACCAGTCGCACATTCCCTCAATTTTGCCTAATTGATCATAGTTATTCTTTGTCCATAGCAATCAGAGTAAATAAGAAAACTATTAGCCAACTGGTGTAAAATTTTGTCCCTTGGTATCTAAATGGTTTTTACCTGATTTTAATGAAACTTACATGTGTATTATTTATTCATTGTATTATTTAACTTTAAACGTTTGCAATGTTTATGATTTAAACTGTGTTCATCAATTGATCAGCTGTAAATTGGACACAAACATAACATGGCTTATCTATCCGTACTTGCTTGAGTCCCAGACCCACTTCAGGAAGATAATGCCATCTTTTACAGAATTACGGACAGGGCGGACCGTACCAGGGCGAACGTGACTCGAGACTAGGCGGACCATATTTTGGGACAGGGCGGACCATCACTCGAGACGAGGCGGACTGTGATTTAAAAAAGTATTTATATGTGGATTAATGTAATAAAAGTATTAAATTATTGATGTTTTTGTTCTTCGTATTAATATTGTCACTCTAATAAGTTTTATAAAAAAATATAATGTAAACAAGAGCCATGTCAACATGGCCATCCCCCGCAGAATGTGTTTGCTCATTGGAAGAATGTATATGTAGTAGAGCAGAATAATTCCATTTTAAGAGGTCTTTTGGAATGAAAACTGATGGCTATAGTGATTACAGATTTGAAACCTATGTGAATACTGATGGCTGAAAATAACAAAGGGCAATAACTGAAAAATAATGCAGGGTAGGTTATCATTCTTGTGTGCTGCATCCCTCCTCAGTAAAATCTATCCACCTATGAAGTTTCAAGTTGATACCTCAAATACTTTTTGAGAACAAAATTGAACTGAAAAAATTAAGTATGAAAAATAACAAAGGGCAATAACTCAAAAATTATAAAAGGTACAGTTATCATTCTTGTGAAATGCACACCTCCTGAGTGAGATCTATGCACCTATGAAGTTTCATTTTGATATCTCAAAGGCTTTTTGAGTTATGCTCTGGACAAAAATTAATTTTGAAAAATAACAAAGGGCAATAACTCAAAAATAATGCAGGGCAGAGTTATCATTCTTTAGCACTGCACTCCTCCTCAATGAGATCCATCCACCTATGAAGTTTCAAGTTAATACCTCAAATACTTTTTGAGATAAGCTCTGGACAAAATAGCATGAAAAAAACAACAAAGGGCAATAACTCAAAAATTGTATAGGGAAGAGTTATCATTCTTGTGCACAACATTCCTCCTCAATAAGATCTATCCTTCTATGACATTTCATGTTGATATCTCAAACACTTTTTGAGTTATGCTCCACTCAGGTAAAAATTAGGTATGAAAAATAACAAAGGGCAATAACTCAAAAATTATGAAAGGAAGAGTTATCATTCTTGTGCACTGCACACCTCCTGAGTGAGATCTATGCACCTATGAAGTTTCATGTTAATATCTCATAGGCTTTTGGAGTTATGCTCTGGACAAAAATCAATTTTGAAAAATAACAAAGGGCAATAACTCAAAAATCATGCAAGGTAGAGTTATCATTCTTGTGTACTGCACTCCTCCTCAATGAGGTCTATCCACCTATGAAGTTTCAAGTTGATAACTCAAATACTTTTAGAGATATGCTCCGGACAAAAATTTCGGACGGAAGGACGGACGGACGGACGGAAGGAGACTATTTCTATATCCTCCGCCGAAAATTTTCGGCGGGGGATAATAACAAGAGCTGTCCGTAAGACAGCGCGCTCGACTTTTTTATTGCTTGCCAATAAAAAAAGTTTTTGCAGTAAAAGGCAATACAAGAATCTCTGTATTTTTAAAGTGAACTAGTTGTTTGATACCCTTGAATATTACAGCAATGTTTATATGACATAATTTATGGTAAAGTGAACAAGTGGATAGGAATGAATTTTTTTAGATTTTTTAAGTTTTTTAGTGCTTGCCTATAATACAAAACATTGACAGTTAAGGGCCATAATTCAAATAAAATCTTTGACAGAATTACCTTCTCCTGGACATGTTTGGGAATCATGATTGTAAACAGTATTCCAACTTTCAAATTAATATCTCAAACAGTTCAGTCAAAAAGTGGACTGGTACTAAAAACTTAACCAAGATTCTAAGTCGATAAAAGGCCTTAATTTTTAAAACAAATCCTTGACAGAGTTACCTTCTCTTGCGTACAGATGGGGGTAATGATGTGAAATAGCATTAAAAGTTTCAAAGCAATATCTCAAAGGGTTAAGGCAATAAGTGGATTTTACCCATATTCAATGTATTTTCTAAGTCAAAAAGGGGCATAATTCTGTCAAAAACCTTGACAGAGTTATGTCCTCTTGTCTGTTGATGAAGGTCGTGATGGTAAACAAGTATGGTCAGTTTCAAAGCAATACCTCCAATGGTTTTGAAATAAAGTGAGGTGGTACAAAAAACTTAACCAAGCTCAATACACTTTCTAAGTCAAAAAAGGGCCATAATTCTGTCAAAAACCTTGACAGAGTTATGTACTCTTGTCTGTAGATGGAGGTTATGATGGTGAACAAGTATGGTAAGTTTCAAAGCCATACTTGTAATACTTCTGAAATAAAGTGGGGTGGTACGAAAAACTTAACCAAGGTGTGACGCCAACGCTAACGCCGACGCCGACGCCGGGGCGAGTAGGATAGCTCCCCTTTTCATAGAAAAGTCGAGCTAAAAATGCACACACACACACATATATATGTTACGGTCAATAAACTTTACTTTTCTTTCCTTTACAGAGTGCTTACAGCAACAATCTAAATTAATGAAGCTATATGGACAGAATATTCCAGTTAGACTCTTTCAACAAAGAAATTTCTAGACAGTTGTGCCAGACTTCCTGTATAAGGAAAGAAGTGCTGTGTGTATATATAAATATATATATTCATTGTATATGAATGTTCAATGTACGTGAATATATTTGATGTTTTGAATTGTTACATGTTCATCATTTCGTTTCCGTATATCTGTATCTTATTATATCATGTCATGTCATTTTATCTTGTATCTTTTTATTTCATGTGTCTGTGCTTATTATGTAAATTTTAATAAAATACTTTTGTTCTTTAAATTTGTCACTTCATTTTTGGTTATTGTTTTGTATTGCAAATAATTTTAATGTGATGTAATTCGTTATCATTGTTATTTTCGTGTATTGTACAACAAAATATATGTTTTTTTAGGTGTCTTATTGTTTAATAAAGTTTATCAATTTTAGCAGCGTTAGCGTCTTTTTCAAACATTGACATTGTAAAATCCCGATAATTGGCCAATTATCACCTGCGTAAGTCGACGCGGTTACAAACAATTTCTTGAAAAAAAAGGTATTAAACTACTCTAATATAAATGTTACATAATTATGTTACATAAAAAGGTTTAGATTGAAATATTATAAAGAAAACCAAAATCATCCACAATTGAATACTTTTAATTCTTTTTTAAAGGGGGCAGGGGACCTAAAAATGAACAATTTTGTATTTCAGTGTGACCAGAAACACAATTCCAAATATTTCAAAATCTGTTTCACAGGCAGATAACCAGTTGCACAGCATTATTCAATGATATATGACATACATTGAAGAAAATAATAGTTTGCATGCATTGCTCCTTCAAAAAATGACTGACAGCAATTTATATTTACCCCCACCCAGCCAAAATCACACCTAAAATATACCAATATGGGCAATCTTCATGAAGGTGCAGCATACTCCAGAATCCGCCTGATTCCTTTAAAAATATCAGTAACACGCAGTGCAAGCTATGGCATTTTCAGAAATGACTAATAAAGTGTCTGTCATACGTTTAGATTTTTCACAAAATTTATCTGAAATTTCTTACTTGTTTGGCGCCAACTGTCAAAGCTTGATTTTTAACTTTTTCACCTCCATTCGGAGAGTCAGAAATACATATAAAGCTACCAAAATGCTTAGTTTCGGGTAAAAACCCAAAAATACTTCTCATTTCCTACACACAAACAAGAAAGAATTACAATGACAGAGAAATATCAGAAGTTATCAGTACCTTCAAAACACCATGTCTGAGTTATAAAAAAATTTGACCGGGGCCATCATTCGAATATGTCCCCTGCCCCCTTAAGATTTTTTATGTGATCCGCATTAAAGCGTTTCCTTTTATTTTCTTAAAATATGAAGTTTTTCGCATTAAACGTTAACTTCGAAAAGTGTGTACTGCGGTTACTTTGTATTTAATCAAAGATTTAAAAAAGACCCTATTTCAGGGGAAGTAACTATTACAATGACCATGCCTGTTATATGATTTACTTAATATCAAGTGCCAGGAACCTGTGAGATGGTCATTTTTCTGTATTCCACCTTCATTTAAATACCATAAAGTATTTTCAGAGTATTTAAAGTCTTTTGGAAGGAGATTCTAGCAAGAAAAACAATATTACAGCCACATTTAATGTCCCAAAATGAATTTTACAGCAAACCAGACCCCATTTACTTTGGCATACAGCTAAAAGTGCAGTAAAGATACCACTGTTGACTTATATGACATTATATACATTTGTAACAATTGAAAGTGCTCAATTATGCATTATTATGTCAATTTGCACAATATAAAACTGTTTAATCTTGATAAATGTGCACATTCTGTGAAGTACAGTTTTTGCCAAAATTCCAAAATTTTATTACCTCCCTTGACTTGAAAGTCTACTTACTTTACACAACTTGATAAATCCTACCAGTCACTTCAAATTTTGACTAATAAGTGTAGAAGGAATGTTTATGGGCACATTTGGTTCAATTCCAACACATTTTATAAATTTGAAAATTTCCTTAAGGGGGCATTCGAATATGTCCCCTGCCCCCTTAAATCACGGTCCGCCTCGTCTCGAGTGACATCGTCCATGCAGCAAATTAATATGCAATTACACATGAACTTTTAAAACTTATTTTATATTTTTACTTTTATATTTGCATTGAAATATTAATACGAAGAACAAAAACATCAATAATTTTTAATACTTTTATAACATTAAATCACGGTCCACCTCGTCTACAGTGACGGTCCGCCCTGTCCCAAAATATGGTCCGCCTAGTCTCGAGTCACGGTCCGCCCTGTCTCACGGTCCGCCTTGTCCTGCAGGCCTTTTACACTGTTTCTTATTTCATTTACTATATATACTACTTTTTAATGATTCTGATAGTACAGTAACAATTATGCCCAAGGATAAATACTTTGTATGGCTCCTTATTTTTTATCATTTTACAATCTGGTATTAACTGATTAACGAAATTGCGATGAAGGGCTATTGATACATTGTCCGAATATTTTTTATCCGAATTCCTGATATATATAATTTCACAAAATTTAATTATAACAATCAAAAACATGAAAATAGCACATTATAAGTGATAAATATGAAAAAAGATTGCACAATCTCTTTATATTATTTTGGATAACATTTATGTAATGCATAACAAAACATTTAAATATTCACATGCTTAATGATAAATTTACCTGAACACCGTCCAACAAGAGTTACGTCCCTTCGAAGGCGGAAGTGATACAAGAAAAACGACAAAAGTTGGGAATTTTCAGATGGACTTCAACCTTTCGATGACTTACTAAAGAAATGACAACTACTTTACAATGCCGTCTACATTAGTTTCGGGGATAAAGCGTTACTGTAACCATTCTAAAAGGTTGCAAGCCATTCTTGAAGACACAAAACGATGTTTTGATGACATTAATGAAAGTGGCAAAAACGAAAATGGTGAGCTTATTTTCCTTTTAAATGTAAAAGTATTATTAGATGGTTAGAATTTGCAATCAGGAACAATTTCAAGTTTTCAACTAGTTTGCCTACTTGTGAATTGGGATCAAGTCATTCATCTCCAAAATAAATAAGTAAGACACTCGCCTCTCACCCCTTATAATTTTTAGAGTTATAATATTTCAACAAAAAAATAAACCTTAAAATTATTTGTTGATTTTCTTTAGTTTTAAGTAATTTTTGATAAAATAATAAAATTTAATATTTAACTCCAGGCTGTTTTGAATATATATGAAATAATAAACACATAATAAATTAAACATCACATAAAAGACAATTGATAAAGGAAGTGGCTGGCCGTACGGGCCCAACGGCTAGCCAAAAGTTCTAGCCATACGTGAGTCACATACCACGTTTCACGGAACATGCGAACTTTCCTTAATGATGGACAAGCTACTGTTGGTAATTGATGCAATTATCAGAGCCCAACAACAATTATTTTCGGTACTTTTTTCATTTTTAGAGGTGTTGAAAATTAAACTTATTGAAACAAAAAGGAATTATTATCACAATTTTGAAAACTATTTCAACTGACGCTATTCAACTGCAACCTATCGCTTTTTTTTTCTCGCCATCTGGATATTAGTACTTTCTTTACTGTAGCCAACATGGCGATTAATCTCTAAAAAGTATACATATGAAGACAATTGCTGTTACTTCGTTAAAGTCATAAAATAACATGTGCATTTTTGACTTTCATGTATCATTTTACAAAGTGCGGTACGGCTAGCCAATACAGTGTATCCTGGCTAGCCGTACGTGACTCACGTACGGCTAGAGCTTTTGGCTAGCCGTACTAGCCCGTATGACTGGCCAAGTGCTTCCATTAATAAATTTATAGATCTACTTAAAGACTTTTTCTTGAGTTTTCATATTATTATTATAGAAAATAAATTTCTAATTGCCTCCCATTATTTACATGAAATGTTAAGTTTGGTAATATCTTTATAAATAATGCTTTTATCATAATTCATATTTATGATACAAAACCATAAAAAAATTGAGTTAAAGGATCTTTAACATACAATGTACAACATGATAACTTTCAATATATGACAACAAACATAATGCTATTTTAAAGACAATGTACAGTTAACATACAACTCATTACTTTTAATATATTACATTTAATAATGAAAGACAATTTAAAGATGGCATACAAATAGGGAAAAAAATCAATAAACAGTTACAGTGTATATATACTTGCTGACAAATACATTGTACATGTGTGACTTTCAGCATGAGCAGAACTATCAATGTGCAGTTAATTAAAAAACACAGGAAATGTGAAAAGGATTTAAGAATCATCATGTATTTACATGTAAGACAAACGTTCATACAGTGTGATGCACTTTATATGACTCATATAAAATGAGATATTTTAATCAGTCAAACTTTCATTGCAATTTAACGTTCTAATGATATATTAGAAAAAAATATATACATTAATGATCATATTTATTTGCTATTTCAAAAATACTATTATGGAAGAGCCTTTTTAGGAATTTAATATGGTCTACCTTTAATATACAATAAAAGATATGTCGAAACAATGATGAATGGATATTTTTATTCACGATTGACTCCATTTCACATATTTCAACTTCCTTTGTGTGAAAAAACAAAGCAAAAAAATTGGGGGTGAAGTGTCTCAATCAGATTTTATAAAAAGAGTGCTAAATTGTTTGCAAAAAAAATGGCCCTAGGGGTTAAGTGTCTGAGAGGTGAAGACCTCAAAGTGTCTGTAAATCTGTGAATATGATGAATACATCTAGAACATGTATTACATCAAGGACAATCTCTGGGAATATATTGTACACATATATTTTTGTGCAACAGTCAATTGTAGCTTCAGACTCAATAGAAGGGACTTGGGCTTTTGGGTTATCAGACTTCTGAAAATTATCTTACTCAATTGCCCTACTCTGCAAGTTTAAAATATCTCCTGATATTTTGACATCAATCAAAACCACTGCATTGACCTAATTATTCTAGGACAGGCTGAAGGTGGCTCATTTGAATTGCTAGCTCTTGGGCTGTGTTACAATTCACTTGCACCTTATAGAGAAACATACTTCTAGGTGTGATTAACTCTAGATTTTTAATATTAGTATTAAAGCTACATATATTAGAACTTTTGTTTCAGGTCCTCTTCTGCCACTTGAGGTTCTCCATGAGGAGGAGGAAGAAATCCTGTCTACAGCTGACAAACTTCCAGGCATTGTCGTTCTCGGACAGAATGAGTATTGCAAGTCTCGAATAGTGAATGAATTATTTCAGAGAACTATTTTCCCAACTTTTGATTGTAACGACAATGATAAGCGGTATCGCACTGTTAGATTTAAGTACGGGGAAAATCTCTGTATAAATCTAGAGCTACCTGATGATGAGTATGCTCTTGCAGAAAACTTGGAAGCGTACAATGGACCCTGGAATACCATTCCACACAAAGATCTGGAGATCTCAGTAAATGACAAATCTGATTCTGCAATGGGATCGGCTGTACTAGAGGTTAAATTCAATCATCAGTTGTTGAGGTATGGATGTACTTTGGTGGTGGCCGCATCAAATATATCGTTTGAGGAGGAGCTTAAACGATGCACTGAAAACATAGCACCAGTTATAATCTATGCATTTCACACAGAATCATTTTCTACCAAGGTAATACTTCTAGTGTTTGGCATATTAATATAGTACAGTGTAACTTCTGAATTCCGGAACTTCTAAAATCTGGAAACTTCTGAAATCCGTACAATTTTCAGGGTCCCAAAACTTCTCCTTCTGTTCTCTATGTAATCAAAACCTCTGAATTAAGGAACTTCTAAATTCTGAATTCCGAACGATTTTCTGGTAAAATTTGGGTTATATCAGTTAAAATTTACTTCCAAAATCCGGAAATTAAAAAAGGTGTGAAGGAATATTATACTTGTAACCTTCAAAAACCTTCAAAATGTCAGTATCTTCCAATTAACAGTACCCATTTATCTTGACACCTATTAGAATTACAACCTGTCAAGCATATCAAACACTTGTTTAAAGTGTGAAAGTTAAGAAATTGAGAAAAATAATGTGATGAAATGAAAAAATACAGGTAAATAGCAGGTACTACATGTATATCAAATATACCTAAGGATAAATTGTGATAGTAATCATTATGCTATTGTATCAGCAAATTACATGTAGGTATTGAAATTAAAAAAAGTAAAAGTCCTATAATTGTGCTATTTTGTTTATTTAATCAGCTTTATATATTTTTTATCATGTCTTATTATAAAACAGTTGATGTATAATAATTGTACTTTGTTCAGATAATTCCGAACTTCTGAATTCCAGAAACTTCCAAATTCCGAACTTTTTGGCTAGTCCCACAGGTGTTCGGTTTTCAGAAGTTACACTGTACTTATTTGTAGGAATCTATCATTAGGATAGATAGTGGACTGAGATATCCTAACAACCTTAGGGTTGGGATCTTTCAATCCTATCTGATCTGATTTTCTTAATAAAAAAATTCATGTAAGTAAAACTGTTGACATGAATGTGCATTAGGCTTATGACCATAACAGTACTCAGTGACTGTTGAATCCATGATCTGTCGCAAAACAGTTAGAAGTGCCATGTACACTGTACCTTTCTAAAACTTACTGGTAAGCAGTGCTTCACAGAATTCGTCACCTTAGTGCAATAACTGGTTAACTCCTGGACTTAACCCGTTACTGCACTAAGGTGACAATATGAGCTTCCTGATACATATGTATGTTTCAGGGCTACAGATAACATTTTGTGTATATTGGGTAATTACCCCTTATTTTGTGATCTATTGGGTTTTTTCTATTTTCTTTGAGTTATTTCTGTATTTTTTACCCTACCCCCTCTAACCAATTTGGGTTATAAAGTACAAGTTCATGCATTTTACCCAAAATTTTTGACCTTCATTGTAGACATTTGTAGGTTTTGTACGGTAATAAAAAGCTACTTACTACTTTGCTTTATGGTTTATTGGCCTAGGAGATTTCCAAGTTGCCTTATATAATTTAAAGGTTTAAAACAGTCTGAAACAGTATGATCTGCCTGATGTACGTCCTTAAGTAATAATTTTCGTCTTACGCACCAGTTCAAATGTAGTTTGTATAAATAAGAATTCATTTACTTTTTCTTACCCTTAGTTATTATTTCTATTGGGTTTTTAGACATTTTAATTGGGTAATAACGCAAATACGCATGTTATCTGCAGCCCTGTATGTTTATATTCAAAGTCCCTGTCATTTGATTCCATTGATTGTTGTCAATTTAAATGTTAGAAGGGATTTTGTTGTAATCAAAATACCTAATCAGTCTTTCTAACTTTTTCTCATTACAGGAGATTCCAAGACTTTAGAGTTACTGAAAGGAGATTACCAATTTTTTCAGCCCATCTGCTTCGTACATTGTACCAGATCCATACGTGATGCCGCATATTTGTAGCTGGAAATCCATTCTGTGGTGTTGTTCATAGTCATAAAAACTTCCAGGAGATGGTCACTCATCGCAGAATAATTCTTGTGTTATCCACAGTGAGAGAACATTATAATAACACAGTGACGGAAAATGCACAAGCAAATAGTGACAGTGCAAAAATCGAACGATAAATGTGATAAATCAGGCATTCAAAATGCTGGAGATCACAGTCCCAGAAATGATAACAGTTTTGAAACTGGCAAATCTGATATAGATAAAGATAAATGCCAACAAATCATCAACACAAGTAGCGAGCCCTCGTCCCACACCAACAGTTACCTCCCCCTAGTCACAGAATGGGTAAAGTGTTTGCTACGTTCAATACCTCCGCCTATCTGTCAAAAGATATTCATGGAACTTTGTAAGGTTGGATATCTTACATAGAAACACCAGGTGTAAGAAAATATCAGTCGAAATATGCTGGAAGACTATTTTGAGGTAGATAGTATTATTAATAACAGACTTAAAACAGTTCCAAGATTCTTTCTCAAATTTTTCCGAATTACAATGCAGGCGTTTTCTTAGTGAACGCAGTGACTGTGTTAAACAATACTCATATACGATGTCTCAATACTTTCATAATCTGTGCGTTTGACGATGGCGCAGGGAGAGTGCCTTAACCTAATAACACCAAAGAAAATTGAATTCGCTCGGAAAAAAGAAGAGGAATTGTTTTAAATCGTTAATTGAAAAATTGCGATTGAAAAGTGGCGACGAGATTAAGGACATGATTGAACGAACTGTTCAAGACAGTAAATCAAGTCTGGTTCAAAAGGCTTATGATTATGACTTTATTGGTAAGTAAAACCTAGTTTATATTCACTTAGTGATTTGTATGAAAAAGCTATGAAATTGTGAATAATTTTGATTTTTTTTTGTATGTACTGTAATATAAATCATTTTAAATACAAGCACCTTTCATTTATAGATCCTTACTACAATACTATATCTGAAAGTGGTCCATCTTTCGAGGTAAGTATGAGTTATAGCGGACAGTTTAGACCATGTATGCACTGTAAAATCTGTTGCCACCCCAATGCTACATGTTTAAGTTTGATTGTTGAGTTTTAATCTAAGGATAAAAACATGATTTCTTTTTAATCCTGAATAAGTATGGCAAATAATTTTAACAATGCACATACTTAACTTCATTAAAAAGGCCTCAACAATTCAAAATTATATAATAATTAGTAATATACTGTTAAAAGTGTAGCATGTAAGATGGTAAGGACCATAGCAATAGTTACGTCATGAACAAAACCTGAGATTGTATAATTATGTACCTGATTCTATAGAATTTAGAGACTTACATTAATCTTGTGTTTATTTTATTGTCATGTGTTACTGTAAAAACTTTTTATTTTTGTTTCATTTTCAAAAAAATACTTATTTGCCATATACATGAACTGTCTTTGCTTGGTTGGTTGGCAATTGGTATAAATATTCGAATAAATATTTTGTGTGGAAGTCAAATTACTTAGTTTACAGTAAACTAAGTAATTTGACTTCCACACAAAATATTTACTTTACATTTTGCTACCTTTACCAACAAATTTTGCACATTAGGCTTTACATTT